GCTGCACCCGGTGCAACCATCACAAAACAAGAGACCCGAGAACTAGAAAGGCGAGGCTTCACCACCCATTTATCCCTCCGCCTTTCATCCAGCCCCACATGTGATTATCGGCCAGGCTGGCACAATTAACTAACTCAGAGCCCCAATAAATTGATTAAAAAAAAAAACATTCCAAAGGTATAAAAAGGTTGTTAAAATAGTAGAATGAGCCCCCATGCCCTGTGGATGGTTGTTAATTGTCTTCAAACCTTGACACCCGGGGCAATAGAATGGGACTGTTAGGGTCCATAGGGTTTGCTCTGGTTGATCTTCACAAATAGATTGGCAGCTCTTTCTTCCACCTCGCTCTCAGGCTAGAAGCTCTACTTAAACCTGTTCAGCCTTATAGCAGTGTGCAAGCTTCCACTGACAGATGGGTGGTGGCTGCACTGAGGCATTGGCTGGGCGTTGAACCAGGTCTCCTGTATGGAAGGGGAGAACGCTGCCACTGACTCACTCCTATTTACCCATACCAATCACTCACTTCCAATATGGTCAACACAGCCCTACCTGCATCCCATGGGTTATTTTAAAGCAAGTACTAGAAGTCAAATACGTTCATCTTAAAATACATAGTCAAACACGTTTAAGACTAGCTTATGACATCGTTTAAATTGAATACAACTGGATATTGTTTTATGGATTGAATGTCATGATCCAAATTTTACCTGTGGAAGAAATATTTATATAGTTGAGTTTTTCTTCTTCCTGGTTTCCTTGTAATTTCAAAAATATCTTCAGAGACAAGAAGCCTCTACTTGTAATAAAAGTTACTTAAGAATTTCTATCTCAAGGACACTTCTGCATTGGCAAATGTACCTTTTTTGTACTTTAACTGTTCTGCTGGCCCTCCCTTTTCTACTTGTCCTGCTATCAGAGAACCAAGAGTTCTCTAGCTCGCTTGTTCTCTGCAAGTATCCATCTTTAAGGTAACCTTCTGGTGCAAATGGCCAGAAATGTTCTGAAATCTCTCTTGCAAAGAGCAAGCTGATTTGGTATGTGTGGAGGAGAGCCTTCCCTACTCTCTGAATCTCCTTACCAGGTTATTTAAAATATAAGTGACATTTTCAAAGTTAAAAGGAAAAGAGATATGCAACAAAGGACATAAATCTAGCCCCTTGCGGATGAAGAGAGGCTAATGTAGATTGTAGAGTTGCACATTATTTCAAATATCTTTACTACTCTGCCTCTAGCTCATATGTGACAGAGCAATGAGCCATAGGCATGGGTGGTTAGGATCCGACTGTAATTGACAAATTGAAGTCTTGACTTCGTTAGTCTTGCCTCTCTTGATTGGCTTATTGCATGTGACCTCCTTGAGGCGTCTCTTTCGCCTTGCTCCCATTCCCAGCTTTCTCTACCAAATCCTTTCCCTCTGCCTTTCAGCATTCATCCTCCCTCTGCAGAGTTCTTGGGTGTATTTTTTTCCTCCTGCTGTGAGACAGCCTCACCCACATTCACAGTTCATCCATGCTTCCTGTAGAGCTGGTGCCAAGCTTTGTGACTCACAGGGTTTTTTCTGAGGTTCCTTAGGGTGTTAACAAATGAGGTTGGGAAAAGCGATTCTGCACTCCAAATAAATGCGGAATCGACCAGCTGAGACAGAGTGAAGGCGGAGCTTTTCTCTACAGAATTCCTTGGAGACTTCAGTAAGAAGTGCTGTGTGAATCTTGGAAAAGTAGGAGAGATCATTGTGTACCTTGTATTGGAGAAGATGCCAAAAAGTGGGTGGGAAAATAGACGGGAAAGATAATGGAGTTTTCTGGAGCAGCCTTCTATCCATCACTAGATGAGCACATTCCAGAGACCTTTCTGAGGCCAAAGCCCTTGCAGTAAGAGAGACAGCAGTCTCTTTGATAAAGACCCACCAGTAACCGCCTTTCTCCAGTTCCTTAGGGCCAGCACCCTTCCTGCTAGTCAAGTCTCCTCCCCCTTTCCCTTCTGTTGCAGGAAGATATGCAGGGAGCACTGCAGCTGCTTGACTTCTTGTTTCTTCATCCACTTGACTCACCATTGTTATGCAAATGGTCAGAGGAAAAGGAAAATAGAAGGGAGATTGGGAATTATTTTGCTTTACACTTACTTTTTTGGTTGTTGTTGGCAGTTCTTTTTTTTTTGGTTGTTTTTTTTTTAACAGTTTTATTGGCATATAATTCACAGATCATACAATCCAATAGTGCAGTCATAATAAAGAGCTGTAAGATCATCACCACAATCAATTTTAGAGCATTTTCTTGTTTCTTAAACTCCTTGTTATTAGCACCCCATTTCCCTACAACCAACCTCTCCTGCCATACCCCCACAAAACTATTACCCCAGTTACTGTTTCTATAGATTTACCTATCCCGGTAAATTTCATATATAGAAAAATATACAGCCCACCCCCCTTCCCCACTAACAACAATAGTAAAGTACAACAAAGTAAAAACCTTGTTCGAAAAGAAGCAGAAAATATTAAAAACTTTTTAAAAAATTTTAATGAGTCAAAAGATCAAATGATAAGGTATTAAATTTTAGCCTACCTGTATCTGCCATAATCCATTTTCCAATGCACTCTGCATGATAGCAATGCTGTTCACGGAGGGGCTTCATCAGAAACTTAATCCATGTATGGACCCTGCAAATGGATTTGGGGCTTTCACTGTCATCCATAGCCTTCTGCAAACCAGGTGTTCACAGTTTAAGCGCTTGGCGTCCCCGCCTCTGAGTTTGGATTTATTATTTACAATCCTTGGATCACACAGGCTGGTGTGCTTCTTCCATGTGGACTTTGTTGACACCTCACTTAGATAGTTGCTTGTTTGAAGAGGTCTTTAAAACCCCAGACACTATTCTTTCTGATAGCTGGGCACCATCTAATTTCTTAACCACACTTTGCTATGGCACCTATATATCTTTAGTGGTCTCTTCAGGAGGGTGAGCATCAAGCAGGGCCGGGTCATAAGAACAAATTGCTTTACATTGGGGTTAGAAACAACTGTGTTGACTCACTTTTTTTTTTATTAGATCTCATTGTCTAGCTTCAGATAGAACCAGAATTATAGTCTTTGGACAAAGGATTTTAAAATTTGGCTATGTGATATATAACCAAATTAACACACTGATAACGTTATCTCTTTTAAAGAATTGTTTTTCTTTTTGTAACGAACGTGTATGTCACAAGAGAGCACTATCTTATTTTATTCTTTGGCTAGAACGTCACAGCTAAAATTTGGCTGGCTGGCTCATATGACACTGACGTTGTTCTGCAAACTGAACTCTCGCTCCGCAACCTGGAGCTATCGAAGCATTTTAGAGTAAACTAACTTGGCAAATGGATAGCAGGACATTTTAGGAATGGACGGGCTGCTTCTAAGGCTTCCTGTAATTCATGCGATGTGTGTGTGAAAAAGAGTAGTGAGCAAAGAGTGCCCCTGGCAGCCAGCGTAGTGGTTCCTGGTACCAGACTGCGTTACGGAAGTTCACCCTGTGACCATTCGTCTGCACAGGGAACGCAAGGGCAGAGGCTAAGGAGAAGACTGATCCGTGCTAAGGAGTGTCACCGCAACCGTGAAAGGATAATGCGTCAGGGCAATCCACGTTTGCGACGTGTTTGAAGGGACATGACTTCTAGAGTAAGGGTGGAATCCAGCATGCCAGCAGTGGCTTCGTAAGCCTTGGCAACACGGATACAACAGGTTCCAGAGGAGAAAGAGTTACGGGAGAAATCGAAGTCGAGGAAGAGGATGAGTGAGGTGCAGATCACTCATCACGTCAATGGTGTGTCCTTGTCATGGAGTCGCACGCAGACAGGGAAACAGAGTCCTGAAACAGGGATGTGTTACAAAATGACTGCAGGGACCTACGTGTTAGAGCTGCAGCCCACCCCAAACCAGCCAGTAGTTGCTGATCCGCTCCAACTCCCAGTGACCCACGCGTGTCAGAGTACCACTGGGCCGCATAGGGGCTTCTTTTTTTTTTTTAATCGTTTTATTAGGGGCTCATACACATCTTATCACAATCCATACACACATCAATTGTGTAAAGCACATTTGTACATTCATTGCCTTCATCGTTCTCAAAACATTTGCTCTCCACCCAAGCTCCTGGCATCAGCTCCTCATTTTTCCCCTCCCTCCCCGCTCCCCCCTCCCTCAAGAACTCTTGATAATTTATAAATTATTATTTTGTCATACCTTGCCCTGTCCGATGTCTCCCTTCACCCACTTTTCTGTTGTCCGTCCCCCAGGGAGGAGGTTACGTGTAGATCCTTGTAATCGGTTCCCCCTTTCCAACCCACCCTCCCTCCACCCACCCAGTATCACCACTCACACTACTGGTCCTGAAGGGATCATCCTCCCTGGATCCCCTGTGTTTCCCATTCCTATCTGTACCAGTGTACATCCTCTGGTCTAGCCAGATTTGTAAGGTAGAATTGGGATCATGATAGTGGGGGAGGGGAGGAAGCATTTAGGAACTAGAGGAAAGTTGTATGTTTCATCGTTGCTACATCGCACCCTGACTGGCTTATCTCCTACCCGCAACCATTCTGTAAGGGGATGTCCAGTGGCTTACAAATGGGCTTTAGGTCTCCACTCCGCACTTACCCCATCATTCACTATGGTAAGATTTTTTGTTCTGATGATGCCTGATACCTGATCCCTTCGGCACCTCGTGATCGCACAGGCTGGTGTGCTTCTTCCATGTGGGCGTGGTTGCTGCTGATAGGGGTTTCAATAGCTGATGCTTGAAGTAGACTCACAGGTCTTTCTTTTGAGGCACCTTAGGGTGAACTTGAACCTCCAGTGTGTCATTCAGGAGATGAGCATGATAACCATTTGAGTCACCAGAGGGGGCACGATGGCAGCAGCAGTTAACCTGATCAGCATGCCGGTCCTGTACTAGCACTACGCTAAACTCGTTACCTGGACTGCCCGCTTCTGTGTATTTTCAGCGGTCTCGCTGCTCTGGGGTCTTCCCTAGGCGTTGACGTGTGGGTTGGGCCAGCACTGGTGATGTACTGACCCTGCGTGCTGGGTTCCTTATTGCCACACGGTTGCGTCTGCTCTATGTAAGTCTGGATACTGGCGGGAAAGAGACAAAGCCACTCTGTGTGGCTTCTGACTCTTTCCCTGCAGTGGAAGAGGGAGTAAAGGAATTGGACGGGTCAGAAAGTTCTCAGAGGCCTGTGTGAAACTCTCATGATCTATAATGCTGTGGGAGCCAGACCTCTTATCCTGGGGGGTGTCTTAGGAATGAAGGTCGCAACCTAGCTTTTCTTATTCCTTCTTTCTCCAAGTCACTCTCTAACCTCTTTTTTAGCAGTTGCTGTAATATTCTATTTCCCAGGAGCTTCTTGAATACTGACAATACTGGGTGTCCACAAAGTGGCCTCTGGACTCTCAGGCGTTAACAACCCAGGGATTGCCATGGGTTCTCAGAGCAGCTTTCTCATCTCTGCACTGCCCATCCCTCCCACAGCTCACTCTGCGATTTAGCTTCATGCTTGTATAAAAGTGACAGAAACTATAGTCACCCATGTGAAGCCCACACTCCCGTCTCCCCCTGGAAAACCATTCGTGCTCCATCGCAGTACAGGAAAGAGCCACCGCTAGAAGAGGCCAGCACGATTGGCCAAGTCAGGGTCAGCAAAGACAAGGAAGGGCCTTAGAGAGATGGAGTGGCCCCGAGCCTCGACAATAGACGTGAAAGATTGTGTAGAGGGCACAAGAGCCAACAGCGTTTCATTCGGTTGCATACCTGAGTCATGACTCAGAGCTGACCTGGGGGCAGCTACCCGCTGACGGCAACAGCAGAGCAGGGAAATGACTGCATGCCATCGCCTGTGCTCTTTGAACTTTGAACTTTCATTTGATCACAATACTACTGCCAGCCCTTGGAGACTGAGGTATCAGACCCTGTGCTTCAGCCAGGGTGACTGGCCACTCACAACTTACAAAAGCCAAAGGGGGCTCTGCTCAGGATCACAGGTACTTTCATCAGGAGTTAGGTTTTGTGACTGCTGAACACACCATTCTGGGCTTTCCTTCTCTTCTTTTGAGGGGCCCAGCCGGTGGCCCTCCTTTAACAGGTTGGTGGAGACAAGTTGGGCATCGGTGTAGCCAGTCAGTGAGTGGTAGTCAAGGTCTACCTGTTGTCGTGTAAATTTCACCAGCTAATATGCTTGCCTGCTGTAATTGCCTTGCAGAATGTCTCTAAGCCTGGACACAGAAGAACAGACTCCACCCACAGCAGCAATGAGTCTGAATACACCTTTAGCTCTGAATATGCAGAAACTGAAGATGCTCCAATGAGAACAGAGGTAAATATTTAGATACCTGTTCCTAAAGGTCAGGTGTGACTTGCAGCACCCAGGTAACATTCCCGATGCGGAGTGGACCCCAGTTGCCCATACGCGCAGTGTTGGTTCTGAATCGTTTCTTCTTCATGGGTGACTTCTAGGTGCTTCGTTAGCTGTGTACATGCATGCACATCGCCTATATTTTTGGTGAATATATATTTATTTTATGGTTAATTTTATTATAATTTTGATGACCTTTGTCATTAGCTTTTACACCTTGATGTAGCCCATGTACCAAGAATAGAGCCTGTCAGGAATTTCAGACTCAGATTACTTTTTTAAAGTAATCCCTTCTCGTTTGAATATTTTTAATACCAGTGCCCTGAATTTTAGCAAAACCGCTGCCTCTGTTTAATGCCAGTTTTCACCAGTATAATTTTCTCCCATAGACACGCGTGGAAAATCATTTCGAAACCTGCTTTAATGTTTTATGTCATGGCATATTGCTCTAAGTATAAGATTTTAAACTAAATTACCCCCAAATCAACGTTCACATCTTCTTTTCAAATCTACACCTCGTTCCAGTCATGGGTGGTTCGAGCACACCTCCTCTATTTTTATACCATGTTCTGAGAAAATGCCCAAGTCAGAAATAGACCGCTTCCGACAGACCAGCTGAAGAAACCGAAAGTTTATTGCTTTCTTGCTCTACTTATTTCGATGGGAAACATTTCTTTAAAGCAAGCAATCTTTCTGTTAAGTGAAGCTTCAGAGCGTGGTAATGACAATCATGGTGGAAAGCGGTTTGTCTGCTGTTTTGTCTCTTTGTGAGGCTTCTTCAGTCCATTGAACATGGTTCTAACTCTCGCGGGGAACAAGCCAATTTCTGGAGGGCGGACGCGAAGTCCGAAACTCTAGGCTAGGTGACAGTCCGGAGCCGCCGCAGCCCATGGAAACCTAAGCTTCTAAAAGAGAAGATTCGTGGTTGACTATTTTCACTAGAATGGTGTCATTAGTCCTGGTGGCCTTTGATTGATGATTCTGCTGTCCAACTTCATATCTGTCAAATCTAGGGATAGAGTTACACGTTTATTTGTGAGGTGTATAGAAATAAGTTTCTCTATGTGTGAAATTCTGTGCTAATTTTATATTCAGGCAAGATACTATCTCTGTTCTGCTAAGTCAAGACAGGTGTTAGGCCCAAGACCTAAACTTCATCTTACTGATGAGCATTACAGAGTAGAGCTAAAAAAAGTTAGGTCTGATTCATTTGTAGGTTAATAATCCTGGCAGCCTAAAGATGCTCCATTAGTTCAGTGGATTCTTCGTGTTTTCCTTAGATCCAGATACAAACTGAACTTCCTTCTACTCACAACTCACAAAAGACTCCCTATAATTAGTGAACATGAAGTGTAGTCAAACTCACGAACTGTCAAAGAAATACAATAAGTATAATAATAAAATACCACTTTAGGTCGGTCATTGTATTAGTCTAGGTACTTTGGAGAAACAAATCCATGGCAACTCACGTATAAGAGAGAGTTTTATGCAAAGAAAATGTGCATCACGAAAACATCCCAACCCAATGCTGCCCAAGCCCACAAATCCAACATTAACCCATACC